TCGCACTTGGAACATCCTGCCGTGGAGGCAATCAGAAATCCAACTTATGAGTGTGGGATGGAAACCCAACATCTCCAACTTGTAAACCAGTCTTTTGTGTGGTACTCTATCAAAGGCTTTCGCAAAGTCAAAGTATGTAACATCGCAGCACCTACTATTATCAAGTGCTACTGTCCAGTCCTCAAGGATTTCTATCATGCTTGTCTCCACCGACCCCCCATTGACAAAACCATGCTGGACCCGTGGTATTATTCTGTTTGCTGCAGCATACTCGAGAAATGAGATGACGGCCAAAATTTAGTAGTATTTAGTATGGTGCAGGCATTATCATTAATTGATGATGGTCATGTTATACTGAACAGTCCACCCTGCTTGGATCATAAATTCCGACATTTTGCACTTATAAAAGGCGACAGCTATGTAAGGATATCACAAACCCGTCACGTATCTTCTTTGTGGCGGCTGCTACTGCCAATGCATTTTGCTTGTACTTATTGAATCCTTGGTATAATAATGATGCCCAGCATAGAGCAATATTGAGCCCAGATCGGCTACCTGAAATGCACCGTTTGTTGCATAGATGTTTGAAAGCGCTTCAGCACTTCCCCGAAGAATCGTTTGATTGTTTACAACTCATTTTACACAGGGGAACCAATGTTTGAAGCAGTTTGAAAGAGCTCTCACGGGCCTAGATGAACGACATTCCAGTAGCTAACCCAACGAGTCACATGCTGCCCTACCTTCCAAAGTNGCCCAGCATAGAGCAATATTGAGCCCAGATCGGCTACCTGAAATGCACCGTTTGTTGCATGGATGTTTGAAAGCGCTTCAGCACTTCCCCGTGGAATCGTTTGATTGTTTACAACTCATTTTACATAGGGGAACCAATGTTTGAAGCCGTTTAAAAGAGCCCTCACGGGCCTAGATAAACGACATTGCAGTAGCTAACCCAACGAGTCACATGCTGCCCTACCTTCCAAAGTAGACGACGCATAGATTCCTCCTTGCCAATCGGCATCACAAAAGTATTGGTTGTGTAAGTACTCCTTGTTCTTATAAATAACCACAGATGAACCTTTTGGCGAAAGACCGTACTAAATAGGAATTTCAATACAATTCAGATAGTCCGAGCGAATTCGTTAAAGCCTTACTTTGTGAGTGTCGGCAGAAATTGAGCACACCCCTGGAACACGGAAATCAAACGGATAGGTATCGTCCATAAAGGGCAGGATGAATCCACCCAGACAGGCATCGACGTGAACCGGAATGTCGTACTGCAAATTGACATTCAGAAACATTATCCCATTTTCGCATTCGGATGGTAAATGGCAGGCAGTACCTTCAGACCAAGTAGTCCAATGCCAACAATATCATCAACGGTACCGAATGGGAAGTTTGGTGCTGAACCAACGAGCTAGAAATCGTTTGAAGAGGTCCATGGGATTTTAGTGATACGAGTTTCAGCCCTTCGCTATCAGAACAACACCTGTACATACTTACCATACATGTTCTACTTGTGATGGCATTCTTCATTTTTCTGAGATCCACCTTGAATGTGAGTGGATCTACTGGAACACGAACAGCACGTATTCTGAAGACTTCAGCGGCTTTGGTGAAAGCTGCGTGAGCCGATGTCGGAATCACCCTGAATCAGGACATTTTTAGGAGAAGTTACAAACCCCTGAAACGTTTCAAGCTCCTAGAATAGGAAGATCGCCTCGACGACAGTGGGTAACGCCGCTTAAAGAGAGAGCTTAGTGAGTAAAAGATGAAATTTCAAATCGTTTACTTGAATAAAATAGCTTAGTTTCTCAAATTCATTTCTAGTCTATCGAAGATTAACGCTTGATTAGAGCCATATACTTCTCAATCGCAATCGCAATAGGAAGCCGGTTCCGGACCCGACTACATACCTATGTACATATCCGTGAATGCAATAGTTCCCCAACTCAGAATTTTTCGCATATAGGAAAACAATGCAAAAGGTTCCTTCACAGAAGACACAGGGTGACAAGTACTGCTATTGCATTGGCAGAACAGTTTTCGCCAGTATAACAAGATTCGAGAAATTCCTCGAGCATCGAGGCTTTGGAGTATATCCACTGGGGAAAGGGAGATTTTCATTGTGCAAACAGGCTTACATTTCTGGGAATAGGATTCCCTTCTTGAGAGCCCGATTTCGATGTGCTAAACAAGCGAGAAGTATTGATATTGTTCCACCGGTTGACATCTGAATTAAAATTAATAGTCAGGCAATATTAGTGGAAGCAACTCTCTGGTGATTAACTAGGAGAGCTGCAAGGATAGTTTAAAGTACCGTTCCGCAACCTTCCGCTTCGGCATGCATCAACGTACAACACATTCGCACCACTTCTGCTTCCATTTTTCTTACACCGGGGAAAAGTTTTGGCCACAGCGGGTTAGACCATGCGAAATTTTTGAACACCTATAATGAAAACGTACAAGGAAAGGAAACACTGGCCTAAGCATGTGCTGGCAAGGCGGCCGGAGGACAGGAATTATGGAAGGTAATTTCATTGCGCAGAACTAAGAATATCGAGTTCGGCCTGCGGTTAAACGAGACTGGATCGGGTGTCAATTATGTAAAGACGTTAAGACGGTGTCATTAAAAGCAATGAAGTTTGAAAATAAAGGGTGACGGAGCTCTGAAGGAAGTATGGAGGGGAATGGCGAGGAAAGACCTCAGCAAAGTTAACGAAAAGGCAGAAGATGCGCAGATCGAAAGAAGTGGTGCTAGCTTACGGAGAACGACGGATTCTGCGACTGCGCGTGATTAATCTTAGGGAGGACTAGGGAAAGACTGGAAAAGGAAACATCATGGCATAGGGAGATGGGCAGAAGGAACGGTTTTGTGTAATCGATTCACCGCACGCGGTTGTCGCGGACCATTCGCATCGTTATAGCAGTTCTAACGTTTTTCATACAGCTCAATCCCTATGCGATTATGACTTTTGGCACGATTCTACTTTTAAATCTATTGCTCCTGTATTTCTTACTTGCTGCTGCATTCTGCTACATTCCTTCGCGAGCGGCGTCCCTCTCCCAGTGACGCGACAATTTCGTTCATACTGCACCACACCCCATGACATAAGGTAGTCAGTCTACTATCCAGAATAGACGTTAGCACAGCGAGAATATGAATAAAAGGCCCTGCCTCTATCTACGGCCACTCTCTTTGGTTACCGGACTCCATTCCGACAGATGTCGAAGTGGTGCAACAATTGTCAAGGATACCTGCGGTGGATTTATCCATATGCATCAAGAGAAATTGGGTGGTTGCCGGACAGTAACGAGTGGGGTCTCTACCACCGCTTGTTAGTAGGTTCAAATTCAGCATCACGATACGAGCCATTGAGAGGTGCCATCTCTTCAATAGATCTCTCTCTGACTTTTTTCCGTCATTAACTCATTGATTCCAACGTAACTGAGGTCGCCTTTCCTTTTGGAAATGAAACTACTAGCTTACCTCTCCGTAAACTCGCATTTCCTCCATATCTTTTTCGTCATTGAAAACAGCGCCAGACACTTTTCCTTCGAGATATCGTGGACCTTCTGAAAACGATGAAAATGTTTCATACCACTTGGAGTTTTCGTACGGCTTCCACTTCGAAAAGATGGAACCAAAGCATCTCAAAATTGGCTAAGACAGTCAGAACATTTGATAGGAAAAACTTGGTTCTGACAAAGGTGTAATCCTCAAGAAAGGTTAGGTCCTTTATTGTTTCATTGAAAACCAACCCAATTTGCTGTAATTCTCAATCAGCTTGATTAGGTTGTCGGCTTCGATGGCGTCCGCTGGAAGTTGGCTCAGAAAGGGCAAGCCACCATCATGTTCGTGAATAGTTTTGTGAAGTGACTCCCTGACTTTACCGATTTCTTTCTATAAATTGTATCAAGGTAATGGTAGAATAATGAAGTTGGCAATTCTTTCAAAGATATTCAACTGTAATGATTGTGTTATCGAAAAAAAAAACTTTATATGATGCCAGTCCAACTAATGGACAGTACTTTGCTGTTGACTAAAAATTTACCTCTATTTTTGCTTTCACCCATGGAATTCTCTTCACGACTGAGAAGAATCTCGTAAGTAACCTTCGTCTGATTCCTATAAAACGATTTGATAAAGGTGTAAGTATAGTAGAGGAGTTGCTGTAGCTAGGATCTTTTCCAGCAATACTGTCATATCTTGAAACTCAGATCGTCATACCTATGTCATCTCTGTGCATATTCCACAAATGCACTAATGTGAACGTAGACACCATGGTTGCTGAGGTCAGTACCAAAGGATCCACCGATCGTAGTGACACAGTGATGTGCTCATGGGCATGTGCAAGGAAATCCTTTGTCAATTCCATGACCATCTCGAAAAAATACATCAATGTAAGGAGATAAGATAGGAGGATTACCATCAACCAACACTTTTGGATACAAGTTAGCCGTNGTTGCTGAGGTCAGTACTAGAGGATCCACCGATCGTAGTGACACAGTGATGTGCTCATGGGCATGTGCAAGGAAATCCTTTGTCAATTCCATGACCATCTCGAAAAAATACATCAATGTAAGGCGATAAGATAGTTAGGAGGATTACCATCAACGGAATCACAATCACCCTACGGGATCGGTTATTCGGTACTAGACTCGTGTGGGAGGATGAAAGCGCTGACTTATACATAGGCTGGCCATCGCAAGTCATTGTATAGGTCACCCACGATTTCAATACGCCTCTACGATAAATGAGAGTCGAATTCTTCAGACAGAATAGATCGTTCCTTGATACTTTATTCTTCACCCTTAATTGTGATCCTTTATAGTTGAAAATGCAAACACGTCAGGCCATAAAAAAATGAATAGTCATGTATCTTAGATGTTCAAAGTCATCAATAA